TCCTCTGAGGCTGAGAGAGTGTGACTTGCCCCATCTGTGTGCCTTCAAACCCATTCTGACTTATGGCAACCCAAAAGCGAACCTGTTAAGGGGGTTTTCTTGGCAAGATTTCTGCAGAGGAGGTTTGCCATGGCCATCTGAGGCTGAGAGAGTGTGATTTGCCCCATCTGTGTGCCTTCAAGCCCTTTCTGACTTATGGCCACCCAAAGGCAACCCTGTCATGGGGTTTTCTTGGCAAGATCTATTCAGCATGGCTTTGCCATGACCATCCTCTGAGACTGAGAGAGTGTGACTTGCCCCACATCTGTGTGCCTTCAAGCCCTTTCTGATTTATGGCCACCTCTCATGGGGTTTTCATGGCAAGATTTGCTCAATGTGGGTTTGCCCTGCCTGTCCTCTGAGGCTGAGAGTGTGTGACTGGGCCAAGGTCACCCAGTGGGTTTCCATGGCTGAGCAAAAAAAAGATTCGAACCCTGATCTCCCAGACTTGGAGGTCCAGCACCCTGTAGCGCTTTATCACATTGGCTCTGGGGACAGCAGAACTGTAAATCAATTCGTTAAAATGATTTTTTACGATTTATTATTGTTATTATTAGTAGTAGTAACATTTACGTATAGAGCGCCGTAAATTTGCATAGTGCTTTGCATAGTAGGAATGAAGAGTACAATAAAATAACAACAATAGATAACGAAAAACCTGCCACACGCCGTACAATTGCACATCAACATACAAAATTAAAACAAAATAAAAATATCCCTAAAATAATACAGCAAGTATACAATAGGCACATATTTTGCTTGTTTCATTTCACAGGCGCCTGTTGCCGTCGTTCTTGTGTGCCTCCATTTCTGATTTATGGCAACCCTAAGGGGAACCTATCATGGGATTTTCTTGACAAGATTTGTTCAGAGGAGGTTCGCCATGGCCTTCCCCCGAGGCTGAGAGAGTGTGACTTGTCCAAGGGCACCCAGTGAGTTTCATGGTCGAACTGGGAATTGAACCCTGGTCTCCAAAGTCGAGGTGATGCTCAAACCACTACACAATGCTGACTCCTACACAGCTCTTTTGTGGCAATTATGGTGGTGATTTTCATAGGGGAGTGGGAGATTCGAACCCTGGTCTCCATAGTTCAGTGCCCAAACCACTACGCCACTCTAGTTCTTGGTTGTGTCTTTAGCGAGGGAGTAATCTTTTGGTTCTTGCAGTCCAATACCCTGAATTCTCAAAATAGGGTGGGAATAATGCTCCAGATGTTGTTGGATTGCAGTTTCCAGCATCCCTTGGCCATGCTGGCTAGGGCAGATGGGAACTCCAATCCAGGACCATGGCAAAGGGAGCACAGTTGGGGAAGGAAGCCAGAAATAGCAGAATTGTATGCAAAATTTTACTTTAGTAGTTTAGGGTAGGAGCCAAAGTGGGCTAGTGGTATGAGCATTGGACTATGACTCTGGAGACCAGGGTTCAAATCCCAGCTTAGCTCTGAAAACGCACTGGGTGACCTTGGGCAAGTCACATGCTCTCAGCCTCAGGGGAAAGCCAAGGTAAACCCCCCCCTCTGAACAAGTCTTGCCAAGAAAAGCCCATGATAGCAGCACCTTATGATTGGCATAAGTCAGAAACGACTTGAAGGCACGCAACAACAACAACCAGCAGGAAGCCTGGCGGCTTCTAAAGCTTGTTGGACTGCAACTCCCAGCAGGTCCCTAGCCAATGTTGTCAATGATGGAGGACACTGGGTGTTGCAGTCCAGCATCTAGTTGTTATGTGCCTTGCAAGTTTATTCTGACTTACGGCAACCTCATTCAGGAATTTGGTTGGTCAGATTTTTTTCAGAAGGGGTATGCCAGTGCACAGATGGGGCAAGTCACACTCTCTCAGTCTCAGGATGGTCATGGCAAACCCATGCTGAATAAATCTTGCCAGGCTGAGAGAGTGTAACTTCCCCAAGGTCACCCAGGGGGCTTCTATGGCGAAGCAAGGATTCGAACCCTCGTCTCCTAGAGGCCTAGTTCAACAACCAGAACTTGACACCACACAAGCACCTTACACACGGAAAACTACCAGGCTTCAAACTGAAAAGAAAGCCTCAGACCCCAAAATGGTCTACAAACCTGGCCTCGCACTAAACATTTTGTTATGTGCCTTCAAACCAACTCCAATTTATGGCAATGCCATCTCATAAAGAGCTTTGCCATTGCCTTCCTCTAAGGTTGAGAGAGTGTGGCTTGCCCAAGGTCACCCAATGTGTTTCCATGGCCGACGGGATTTGAACCCTGATCTCCAGAAATCCTAATCCAACACTCAAACCATTATGCCATGCTGGCTCTCATTTGGAGGGCTGCATTTGTCCTATCTCTGGATTGCTGCTGCTGTTGTTGTGTGCATTCAAGTTGTTTCCAACTCATGGCAATCCTAAGGAGAACCAATCACAAGGTTTTCTTGGCAGGTTTCTTCAGAGGGGGTTTGCCATTGCCATCCTCTGAGGCTGAGAGAGTGTGACTTGCCAAGGCTCACCCAGTGCGTTTGACCTGGCCAAGCCAGAAGCCTAGATTAGGAGGTGGCTATTTCTGCATAGGGCCACACCACTAGGCTCCAACCCTTTGCATTTGCATCGGAGCAAGCAGCATTGGAGCCAAACATGGAAATGCGAACATGGAAATTTATAGTGAATAACACAAGCCCTGTTTGACCTAGACCACTTACTCTGACATCTTTCCCACAGCAATTTAGAAAAAGAGAGAGAGAGATGACTCAAGGAAGATGCAGCCGTAAAGCAAAACCAGTCCTCTACTGCTCTTTTGAAGAAACTGGAACTCAGGGGTAGACTGCTCCTGGACATGGAGGTTCTGTGTTAACTTTATCATAATCAGAGTATCCTCAAAGGTCATCCAATCCAACCCCCTGCTATGTAAGAACTCACAATCAAAGCACCCCCGACAGATGGCCATCCAGCCTCTGTTTAAAGACCTCCGAAGAAGGAGATTTCACCAACATAATGAGGCAGCAATGTATTCCACTTTCGAACAGCTCTTACTGTCAGGAACTTCTTCCTAATGTTGAGCTGGAATCTCTTTCCCTGTAGTTTGAATCCATTGATCCAGGTCCTATTCTCTGGAGCAGCAGAATACAAGCTTGCTCCATCCTCAACATGACATCCCTTCAAGTATTTAAATGACACTCTGGCCGAGAAAGAGAAAGACCTTGTAAAACTATAAATCCCAAGATTACATAAAATGGAGCTACGGCACTTAAAAGTGGTGCGAAGCGGCTTGACTTCTGTAGTGTAGATGCACCCCTTGGGCCTTGCTGCTTCATTTCAGGAACATAATTCGGTGGGAAGATCTCTTGCATGGAAAAACAGATTCCTTTCCCTGGAAAGGAGAACTTTGGGTGGCCATAAGTCAGAAAGGGCTTGAAGGCACCCAGATGGGGCAAGTCACACTCTCTCAGCCTCAGAGGATGGCCATGGCAAACCCAGGCTGAACAAATCTTGCCAGGAAAAAACCCATAACTGGTTTGTCTTTGGGTGGCCATAAATCAGAAAGGGCTTGAAGGCACACAGATGGGGCAAGTCACACTCTCTCAGCCTCAGAGGACTTAAAGAGAACTTCCTGCTAAATTGTGGCTTGCGTCTGCCAGTTCTCATTCCTCCTTCTCTCTTTTGCTGTGTTTATATTAGGTCTCTTTTTGGCCCCTGCCCAGATCAGTGTTCTTTCCTTCCCAAATAATCCCACATTCTCACAGATTTCGGAGAAAGCAATGCAGGGGTGATCTTTGCTCTCTGCAAAGTCAGAGAACCAAAAACTCCAAGAGAGATCTTCCTGGAAAAAGATGGCAGGCAAACATCTTCACGCTTCGCTTGTTGGTTTTTCTTTTTTAACTCAGGCTTGGAGAAAAAAATATTGCCTGGTTTGTCCAGAAAGGATTTGGGCACCATCTACCGATAAAATGTTTTAAAGGAGAAGCTGTCATCACTTAACTTCCCCAGTTCAGAAAGTTTGGGTGACTTTTTAAAAAGTTTATTTTAACAACTTGATTCACAGTTCTGCTTGTTCACAGAGCCAGCATGCTAAAGTGCTCTGGGTATTGGAAAAAGAGTCCAAGAGACCAGGGTTCAAATCCCTGCTCAGTCATAGAAACCCACTGCATGGCCTTGGGCAAGCCTCACTCTCTCAGCCTCAAAGGAGGGCAATGGCAAACCTCCTCTGAATCTGCACTACATCTACACCAGTGATTCCCCACTCTTTAGGCGTCCAAGTGTTTTGGACTTCAGCTCCCAGAATTCCTGACTGCTGGCCAGCCTGGCTGGGGATTCTGGGAGCTGAAGTCCAAAACACTTGGAAGCCTAAAGATTTGGAATCACTGATCTACACCAATAAGGCATCTGCATCTACACTGCAGAAATAATGCAATTTGACACCACTTTAATTGCCATAGCTGAATGCTGTGGAAGTTTGGGTTTTGTAGTGTTGCGAGCTATTAACTTTCTCTGTCAGCAAGCTCCGGCGCCACAACAAACTACGAATCCCAGGATTCCATAGGATGGAGCCATGAGCGTTAAAGAGGTGTCAAACCACATTAATTCTGCAGTGTGGCAGAAGCCACAATCTTGCAAAAGTTTGAAAAGCAGCAAGGCGCAGTGGCTTGAATGCTGGACTAGGACTCCAGGAGCCCAGGATTTTATCCTTGCTCAGCTGTGGAAGCCCACTGAGTATTGTTGAGCAAGTCACATTCTCTCAGCTTCAGGGAGAGGCAATGGCAAACCCTCTCTGAGCAAATCTTGCCAAGCAAAACTCCATGATACGTTTGCCTTAGGTAGAGTCACCAAAGTTAGGAAAAAAATTAAAGGCACAAAACAACAACTGCTATTTCCTCTGAGCTAGTATTTATGTGTTGGATTACTCTGGGAGGACAGGGTTCAAACCCTTATTCAATCCTGGAAACCCACTGGGTGACCTTGGGCAAGTCATTCTGTCTCAGCCTCAGTAAGTTTAGGGCAAGAGCCAGTGGTGTAGTGGTTTGAATACTGGAGCATGTCTATGGAGACCAGGGTTTGAATCCTTGGTCCACCTTGCAAACCCACTGGGTGTCCTTGAGCAAGTCACACTCTCTCAGCCTCAGAGAGGCAAAAAACCCTCTCACATGGGCAGGCATACAGATCGATGCACATTACACAAACCTGTTTCAGTGGTGCAACATTGCCATCCAGCACACTAGCTGCAGAACATAACTAATGTGCATAACTCTGTATGATAACAGATTGAGTCTGCCTTATCCATCATTCTGAGATAATCCAAAGTCATCCACAGGAGTGGCTGAGACAGTGATACTTTTGCTTTCTGGTGGGCTAATATACCCACAAACTTTGTTTCCTGTAGAAAACTATTACAAACATTGCATATGAAATGCTACGTGTCCAAGGTGCATGTCCATGTGCTGTTCGTCTTCAAGTCGTTTCCGACTCGTGGCGACCTTAAGGCAAACCTATCACAGGGTTTTCTTTTTTGGGCAAGATTTGTTCAGACAGGGTTTGCCTTTGCCATCCCCTGAGGCTGAGAGAGTGTGACTTGTCCAAGGTCACCCAGTGGCCTTACGTAGCCGAGCCGGGATTCGAACCCTGGCACGGCGGCGGTTATGTTTGCAGTGTACACAGTCCTCCAGTTTGGGTCATCTGTGTTCCATTTTGGTCCCCTTCACTAGGAAACTCAGGGCGCATTTATAGAAGTTGTGATGTGGTTAAAATTTAACCAGTAAATGCCCCCAGGAAAGAGGCTCCATTAAAGCCTCTCCATTAAATGTAGAGAATCTCACTCTTCCTTTAATCAGTAACTTATGCGAGTAACTTCCAGTGTTTACAGAACACTTTGCTAGCTCCTTCCAGCCAATGCTTCGTGGGGGATCAGTGTTTATATATATATATATATATATATATATATATATATATATATATATACATACATACACACACACACACACACACACATACACATATACACACATACATACACACTGATCAGTGTATATGTATATGTATATATATATATACTGATCAGTGTGTATGTATGTGTGTGTATATGTGTATGTGTGTGTGTGTGTGTGTGTGTATATATATATATATACATATACACACATACACATACATACACACTATATGTATGTGTGTATACACACACACACACACACACACACACACACACACATATTTTTCTCCAAGCCAACAGAGACTCAGCATGCTGGAAAGACAGCAGCAAGGCTGAGTTTACAACAGGAGACATTTTGTGTAATACCAGATCCAGAAACTGAAAATGTCACAGTGGTCCATGTATATGGAGTGTTACACACATTAGTTTTAATCTGTATGGTTTTAATCTTTATAGGATTTAATGCTTTTTTAAGGGGGGGAGATTATTGGGGTTGATTGTATTGTGTATTTTATACTGTTAGCCGCCCCGATTGTCCTCAGAGGGACGGGATACATAC